AACCAAGGCTCCCCTCTCCCAGGACTAGGCCCTGTTCCGGATGCTAAAGACACAGTTTGTACATGGGGAAACTGAGGTCACTGCTTAGTGGAGACACAACAGCTTGCAGAAACCCACAAGTGGCTATGCCTGGAACAGAAGGAGAAGCCGAGCGGGGGCTGCCCTCACCCCTGCCCACAATAATGCTGGGAACCGCTTGCTGCTTCCGCCTGCTCAGGACCCGCCGGAAGAGAAGCCATTGTTTAGCTCGATGCTTGGCCTCTTTCCTACCACCCAATCCTTCCCCTTCCCATTGTCCTCAGGCCCCTCATCAGGGTAGAGGATGCAGCTGCCAGCACAGCCGCAGAAAGAATGGGAAGGGGCTGGGGGAAGCAAAGCAGGCCATCCCGGGGGAGAGCTGAACGGCTTCAGCTGGCAGCCGTCCCTTTCCTTAGGAGCTGTAGACAATGGCCCCCGGGAGGGAGCTCTCCCAGTGCTGAGCACCAGCTGCAGAACCCAGGCTTCACAGGTGAGCTGCTGCAGACCGGAGTCCCAGCATCTGCCGCTGATGGGCTGCGTGCCTGCGCAAGCCTCTTGCAATCCCTGAGCACCGGTTTCCTTCTTGGGTAGAGCAAGGATAAGACACTGGCCTAGGGGAATTCACTGCTGCAGTGAGGAGGAACACAAGAAGACCCGATACCTAAGCGCTCACACACTCATTTCTGTTCCTCTGCACCAGCTTTAACCATAGCAAAGCATCCAGAGAGATGATGACAAAGAAGGTTCATGTGGCAAACGGAAGCTGGGTTTCCCATTAGGTAAATGAAGATATATTCCTACAACTGAGTCATCATCAAGATCATATTTAATAAATCGATGATAAATCTGTTAATAATTTATAATCACATAATGGAACAGCTGGTGTTTGCTAAGCACCTCCTATGTATCACGCACATGACTTCTGTGCAGCTACTTTGGGAGCTGGGTACTATCGGGACCAGCTGCATGGTTGCTGACCAGTGCAGCTACACAGAACCCCCCTACTCAGAAGGGTGCCCCAGGGGCCAGTGTTGTGGCCTTGCAGGAGAAGCTACCATCTGCAGCACAGGCATCCCCTATGGGTGCAGTTTGTGTCCCAGCTGCCCCGCCTCCAGTCCAGCTCCCTCCTAATGGCCTGGGGAAGACAGCAGAGGAAGCTCCAAGTATTTGGGCCCCTGTTACCCTTGTAGGAGACCTGCATGAAGTTCCTGGCTCCAGGCTTTGACCTGGCTCAGCCCTGGCTGTTGCAGTCATTCAGGAAGCAAACTAGCAGATGAAGACCTCTGTCTCTCCCTCTCTCTCTGTAAGTCCAACTTTCAAATAAATCTTTTAAAAGGGGGGTGCCCCACACTGGAGGCTTAATGCTCTGTGGTTACTATCTGGAAATTCTCAATAATTTTATCTTTGACCTTGTGCTTTGTAAGTGAAGTCTAATGAAGCATACACTGGGATTTGGAGCCTTGGTTCACACATGGCCTTCCTCTCTCTGAGCTGGCTTCTCAGCTGCCTCTTCCTCCCACCCCTGCCAACTACCCACACCCGCCACAACTTGGTGCCAGACAAGGGCTTAGATGCAGGCACAGGGAGAGGAAGGCGAGGTACACGTGGGCAGCGCCCCACACCCCCGTGATGATTTGCACTTGGTTCACATCGCCAGGCCCATGAGAGCGCAACATTAAACGAATAGGTGAGTAGTAAACAGCGTAACAGGTTGAAAGAGCAATGGCAGAAGAAAGAGAAAAAGGCTACTTTCTGGGTTCTGAACAAGGGGCCATGCATTGCATTTTCATATGCGCTTTGTAGCCACTGCTGGGTATGATTTTCCCCACCATTCCACAAAAGCCACACTGAGGCTCAGGGCTCCAGAATCTGCCCAAGATTACACAGCTGCCAAGTGGCAGTAATTCAGACACAGACTGGACCCCAAGTGCGAGAGGACTCCAGGTCTTTAAGAACTTCAGCTCTTAAAGGAAGTGGGAGGCCTGGTGTCCCTGGGTGAATCTGTACCCTACTCTGTGCCTCAGTTTCCCCAAGTGAAAGCGCTCTGTGGAACCCTGCAACGTGACAAGGGCTCTGAAGATCTGGCTTTGCCATTAACAGGCTGAGGTTCTGAATGCAGTGAAATCCTGTTTGCCCACGCACCCCCACAGAGCTGCTGGGAGCCTGCCACAGGTGACAGCCACTGGCTCTGCATGACAGTTCACAGCACATCAAGCACTCTCATGTCACTCCCTTCCTCAGGTGACACCGAGCAGAAGGCTGGGCAAGGAACCTTATGAACCCCATTCTACAGACAGGGATGCTCAAGCACCAGAACTGCAAAGGGACTTCCCCAACTCACTGTGCATCTCGGGCAAGGTTTGCATAGGTTAAGAGGGCCCTTCAGGCAGAGGGCCAGAATATGAATGTGCATACAGGAGGAGGAGGGTCCTGACCTGGGGAGGGCAGCACGGGGCCCTCCGCACAGGAGTCCTGGGTCAGAGAGGGTTTGCCCAATCCCTGACCTCAAGGGTCCCACATTTGAGGCAGGAGGCCAGAGAGGTGTCCAAGAGCTCCTGAGAGCCGAGAAACACCTGGCCAGCAGCTTTCAAAGGGTGACTCAGCATCCTGTGGGATGTTTACCCAACACAGGCGGAGTGTTGTCCACAGATCAGGGGCAAACAGGCGGACAAAGGGCTGAGGCAGCAGCCTCCCCACCCACCACCAGCTCCCCCCATGCATCCCTGGGGGAGCCCCTTACCCCTGCGGAGAGGACTGCACGTGACTGACCGGAAGCCATGCGCTGGAGTGATACATCCTTGGCCCTGCCTCTCTCTCCTGGGTTCCTCAGCCCCTGGTTCCCATGGTCAGGCTGTGCTTCTACATCACAGGAGGGTCCACTCACCCTGAGCCAGCTCCTCTCTCACCTGGGGCTCCTGGTGACCACAGGATGTGTTTGTGAAATGGTTGCTGAAGTCAGAACCCTGACCTGTCCATCCCCAGTCCTGCAGGGAAGTACTCGTGCACAACTGTCCAGTCCCACATTCTGGGATGCTGGAATTGTTCCATTCTGTGCTGCCTGGTAGCCACCAGCCACATGTGGCTACTGGACACAGTGGCTAGTGAAGCTGAGGAACTATTGCCAAATTTCTACATCATTTCAATTAAGTTAAATATAAGTGGCTGGGGCCAGCGCTGTGGTATAGCAGGCTAAGCCTCCACTGGTGGCACCAGCATCCCATATGGGTGCCGGCTTAAGTCCCAGCTGCTCCACTTCTGATCCAGCTCTCTGCCAATGGGAAAGCAGCAGAAGATGGCCCAAGTCCTTGGACCCCTGCACCCATGTGGAGACCCAGAAGAAGTTCCTGGCTCCTGGCTTTGGATCGTTGTGCCCATCTGGGGAATGAACCAGCAGATGGAAGACCTCTCTCTCTGTCTCTCCCTCTCCCTGTTTGTAACTCTACCTCTCAAATAAATAAATAAGATCTTAAAAAAAGAGAAAAGTGGCCATGTGTGGGTAATGACTACTGTTTTGGGCAGTGCAACTCCAGAAGCAAAAAGGGACAATGCAGATGGAACTGCACCATGACCGGGGGCTTCCAAGGTGCTGCCACTATCATCTTCTCATCATCTGTCCTGTGAAATCAGTGGTCATCTCCATTCTGCAGCAGGAAAACAATGCATTCATGCTGGCAGAACTAGTGTTAGGTTCATGATTTACTCCCGGGCCTCTTAACTCCCAACCTCCACTCCATGCTCTATGCCGCACCGCCCACTTATGCAGTCACCACATATTTGTAAGGTCTTTGTCACTAACACCTTAACCACTTCAAGTCAAGTTAGATCCAGACCCAGGCTTTGGTTGGGAATTCTCAGACAAGGGCTGTGTGTCACAAGAGATTACTTCAAGTGACTCTTCTATGGTTCAAAGCACGTTGCTTTAAATATCATTCATATCTGATGACATCTCAATTTCTACTGCAGGTCCCAGTCTCTACCCAGAACCCCCAGAGGATATAGCATCTACCTGACATCTACATTTGAAAGCTGAATTGACTTCCCAAGCTTGCCCCATACCTGGCCGACTCCATCTCAGTTCCACCGTCTCCCTCTTATCCCCATCTCAAGCCCCTGAAGTCATCCATGACCTTTTTGATAATTTGTTTTTGATGCCTTTCATCTAAGGCATCAGCAGACATTGTCTGCTCTGTCCTCAAGAAGCATCCAGGACGCTCTCTCCATCACTGCCAGTCTCGCCTATGGCCTCCATCTCCAGCTGCAGAAATCGAAAGAGAAAATACGGGATGCCCAATTAAACTTGAGTTACGGACAATCTTTCAGCATGAGCATCTCCAGATGTTGCATGGGATCTAGTTACACTAAAAAGTTACTCGCTGTTTATCCAAAGCTCTAACTCTACTGGTGTCCTTGTGTTTTTATTTGCTACACTTGCAACCCTATACAGGCAGTATTTTGTTCACTGGAGTATCGCCGGCTCTAGAAAACCTCTGACACGTAGCACTCATTAAATATTTGTTGGATGAATGCGTATGCTCAACTGGGTCATTAATCTGAAAGACGCCTAAACTTTTAGTAAACAGCCTGCGAGTCAGCGGGGCGGCGCCTCTGGGCTGGGTTAGTCCAATTCACAACCGGGGACCAGGGAGGCAGAGGAACTCTCCAAGCAGGTGGCCCAGCTATTTTGTTTTGTCTACCCCGCCCCCGCGCCTCCGGAAACCAAATTCGGGCGCGGCTCAGGTGAGCTCAGGTCCCGGGCGGCGCCCCTGGGGGCGGGGCCTCCCTAACCGGCGAGCGGGACGCAACCCTGGTCAGAGTCAGGGCCCCTTTAACGCCCCGCCTCCCACCTCCGCTCGCGCCCTCCGGCGTGACGTCACCCGGCGAGCAACCAATGGGGGCACGGCTTACTGGCAGGCGGTGCCGGCGGCCGCTGCCAAGGGGGAAGTGAGCTGGGGCTGGAGCGATGGCCCGGGTCTGGACCCCGCGGCCGCCGCCGCCGCCGCCGCTGCTGCCGCCAGCCCGTCGAGAGCAGCCGCGGCCGGAACCGGAGTGGGGCCGGGAGTCGCGGCTGGCGTGGGAGCGGCGCGTGTGAGTTGCCGAGAGTCGCCGGTGCCGGAACACCTCAAACTCTGGGCGGGAGGGCTTCAGGTGAGCTGAGCCGCCTTCGCCCCTCAGCACTGCGCCCCCCAGGCCCAGACAGCAGGGCTGGGGGTCTCCCCTGTCGTGGGACTGGCTCCTTTCAGGCCGGGCCCTCAGAGTCGGGCTGCGGGTCGCCCTCGATCTCGGGCTCTCTTCAGACTCAGGTCGGAGACGGGAGGACCGGGATCAGCCCAGACCCCAGCCGGCTTCCCGGCCCCGGCATTCTCTGGGCGGCCGGGAGCCCCATCCTGCTCCCACCTCTCCAGACTGGGAGGGACTGGCGAGTTGCCACTGGCTAGCTCTGCACCTCTGCAATTCAAGAACAAGTTTCTTTCCCCGGATCTCCAAAATAAGTAGCCTGTGTGTTCTTCCCCGGCTTTCTGAGGACACTTAGAAGTATTGTCAGGGCTGAGACGCTCACGTTCTTGACTTGGATTTGTATCCGCTGTGGGAGATAGGTTGCCCCTCTCCCCCCGCCCCTTTCCACTCAGTGACACTCCATGCCCATTCGGATCACAAGCTCCCCGGCCATCTCTATGTGATCTCTCCCATCCCACCCCCACCCCGCCCCCAATCTGAGTTCCAGTTTCCTCTGGGCTCCAGTCTCCAGCCCCCAGCGGTTCTGGTCAGTCCCACCCCTGGGTGGGAGTGACCAGGGGGCTCTGGCCCAGGATACCCCACCCTGGAAGGCAGCTCCAAGGCAGCAAGGGAGTTGGGCGTCGGATACGAACCTGGCAGCTCAGGAGTGGCCGCTCCGCTCACCCCGCACAAGAAGATGAAAAAACGCAGAGAGCTCAATGCGTTGATCGGCTTGGCTGCGGACAGCCGGAGAAAGAAGCCCAAGAAGGGCGCCAGCAGCCACCGCCTGCTCCGCACGGAGCCTCCGGACTCGGACACGGAGTCCAGCTCTGAGGAGGAAGAGGAATTCGGTGCGGCTGGAAACCGCTCCCGCTTTGTCAAGTGAGTGAGGCCGCGGTAGGGATGGGCTGGGGACTAGGCAGCCCCTTCACTCTCAGGAGGGCGAATTGTTGGGAAGGGAAGAAGGGTGTAGCTAGACCTTGGAAGGCCAAGGTGAAAGGCGCTAGGCAGGAGACGAGCTCCCGTCCTTAGGTGTGGAGAGAGGCGCTCTGAGCCGAGGGCGCATGTGCAGACCTGGGGGTGTGCCAAGAGCCCAGGGAATCATAAAGGGACGAACAGAGACAGCGAGGCAGCATGCTCTCACTTAGACAGCTCTTAAACATGTCGACACAGGGACTTCCAGACTGCAAGCCGTTTGTTTCCTGTGCCCTTGATGAAGCTGAGTCCTGAGAAGATGGGGAGGATGTAGTATGGAAGGCACAAGCCGGGGCGAGGAGAGGCAGGCAGGCTTTTTCCCAGGCCATTTCTAGGTGGAGCGGTCATGAGCTTTGTGGACACTGGGCATTGGGGCTCACAGTGGGAGAGATCTGAGGGAACCTTGAAGGTGCGCCTGGAGCCTCTCAGGAGGAACACGGAAAGAGGATTCAGCCGAGGCTGTGGAAGCAGGAGCTAGGCGGAAGGTTGGTGCTGAAAGACTTGAATCCTCTGGTAGGAATGTCTGTGTGCTTTTATGTTGTTAGATTTTGGTTTCTTCTAAGTAAGTGTCAGATCGGATAGTTGAGGGCTATCCAGAGTTGGAGCTATGAAGGCGCAAGGATGTATTAACCCCAGGACAGCTACCCTGGCAGCTTGGTCTAGACGTTGAGGGCTAGTTGAAGTTTGGTGTGAAATCTAGCTGCTTTCTGTTTCCTTCCTTCTGAGCCAATAAGCTAGAGTATACCAGGTGTGTGCTTCAACCTGAAGATCCTGTTTCTCCCATTCCGCTTACACTAAAACTTGCTCTAAAGTTTGTGAAGTTCCAGTAACCTGAAACAGGTCCGCTAGGGAAGCATGTGTGAGTTAGAGGAAGAAATGGATAGGCAAATTACAGTGCAGTGATGGAATACAGAGAAACGCCGGTCTTTATACTTTTCTAATCTGCGCTTGTCTCCAGAGACTTTGGTCCTGAACTGATGATGCAGGTCCTTCCCATGACCCGTAGAAACTCCCTCTGCTTCATGTGAAATCTGAAACCCTTGTACCCAATAGAGGAACTCTACATAGGCCGTGTTACGTAGTCATTTTCAATCTGCTCTTCAGATTTAAGTACACTGCCCTATCTCCCCGGAAAATCCACTAGTTATTCATTAGAGAAGATAATTGCATGGCAACACATGTTTACCATTTCTGATAAAGCTTCCCAGCCCTCATTACCACCTGTGTCCTCATGGTTGGATTTGTTCTTATGATCAGGGGAGACTACTTACGATGCTGCAAGATCTGTTACCCACTCTGTGCTTTTGTCATCCTCGCTGCCTGTGTTGTGGCCTGTGTCGGCTTGGTGTGGATGCAGGTTGCTCTCAAGGAAGATCTGGATGCCCTCAAGGAAAAGTTTAGAACACGTAAGTGGTCCCCCTTTTCGGAGCATAAACTCAGACTCTTTGCCAGGTCCAAGGATAAAGTAGTCTATGCTAAGTTACAAATTTTGCCCACTCTGGTGAAGTGATCATACATTCCCTTTCAGCATTTTTATGCTGCTCCCTTAGCTGTCCGCTTGCAAACTGTTGGAACACTTGTTTTATACTCACTGCTTACGAACCCTCAGGACAAATAGCACCTGAAACAGTAGCACTGCAATCGATGCTTAGACTGCAGAAGGGAGGGGCCTGAACTCCCCTGAGTCTAAAGTGGCAGTGACGACACTGGGCTGTTTCCTTCAGCCTCACAGGGGCAGCTGAAAGGAACGTGAGAGTGTCTGCCAAATGATTTCCCCTTAAGAAGACCATGCAGGAACAGAGGAATGGTACAAATGCTAACATTTATGGAGTAATGTGCTGTGCCAAGTCACAACTTGTTTTATTCCCAAAACAGTCCTGTAAGATAGGTATTATTTTTATTAATTTTATACTCCTAATAAAACAAGCTTAGAAGGATTAAGTGACTTACTCAATGATTACGTGTGACAGAGTTGAGATTTGTACCTGGTCCTCTTGTACCTTTGCTGCCCAAGTCCATGTTTATAACCCCTGTTATATTGTATCACTTACTTCCAAGAGCAGTGTCAGCCAACACACATTTCTCCAAGTGCCCACAGATGTCTTTGATATCAGCCTGGGTCCGTCATCTAAAAGAAGTTAGTAGAAGTATTAGAAGAGCTGGTTTTCTACATATTTATCAGTTTTCAAGCTTAGGGCAAGAAACTAATAGATTTCTCTTCTGTCCTTGGCTATTCTTGTATCTGTGATATTGTCTGTTTGGGGCAGAAGGAGGTGCCCTTTAAATACGATTCATGAGTGTCACTTGTGTTATTTTAAAGTTTTAAGAAACTTTTGTGGTTCTTTGAATTCTTATATATCATGATGGGTCTATAAAGCCATAGTAATGCCTACCTCAAACACTGTACAACTGGCAGAAACGTTTGTCTCATGAAAGACTTTCAAGCTTTAAAGGACTTTCCAAGTTAAAAAAAATTTGTATAATTGCGAATTTGTATTTTATAAATCCAAACTACTTTTTTCTGAAATGTGTTTGCATAATAGTTTCTATATGACCTTTTTTAGCAAAAATGAAATGTTTCTAGATTTTGAGGGTTCTTTTCTTTCTTTGTTTCTCTCCTCCCCTCCCCCAACATTCATTCATTGATTTGAAAGAACAACAGAAAGAGAGAAAGAGAAAGAGATCTTCCACTGCTGGTTCACTCCCCAAGTGGCCACAACAGCCAGGTCTGGGCCAACTTGAAGCCAGGAGCCAGAAGCTCCATCCTGGTCTCCCACATGGTGGCAAGGGCCTAAGTATCTGGGCCATCTTCTCCAGCCTCCCAGATGCATTAGCAGGAAGCCGGATTGGAAGCAGAGCAGCTGGGACTTGAACCAGCACTTCAGAATGGGATTCCAATATTGGAAGCTGTTGTTTAACCTCCTGTGCCCCCCTCAAAGGTTATTTTCTAAACTAAAGAGCCAGTTTGACTTAATCACAGATATCCGAATCTTGATAGCATTAGCACACCAGGAAATTGACCACAAGGTTTTCCTCAAGGTCATGAAGAAATCTGGCACTAGATCTAGGATTGGTGCTTCTTCCTATTTTAAGCCTAAGAGATAAGTTTCCTAGCTTTCCTTCACCCTTTTGTTACCTGCAGTTACTCAGGTTCTGAACCTGACATAGGGACAGCTAATCCTTAGTGCATTAATGGCATTCCTACTGATGTTGCTTGAAAAAAATGTTAAAACACTCACTTTGGTTTTCTTAAGAGTTTCTGATTCAGGGAATCAGATGGCCTAGGTGTTAACCCTCTACCAAAATAATTCTGACCTATATGGTGTATGAACCTGTTGAATCAGAGTACAGCATAAGAAAGATTGAGGTATGTGCTCCATAGTTAGTGCTCCTCCATAATGGTTGCCCTTACAGTATTGTAAGGTGTTTTTTTTTTTTAAAGATTTATTTTATTTATTTGAAAGAGTTACAGAGAGAGGTAGAGTCGGGGGGGGGGGGGGAGTCTTCCATCCACTGGTTCACTCCCCAAATGACCGCAATGGCCAGAGCTGAGCTGATCCAAAGCCAGGAGCCAGGAGTGTCTTCTGGGTCTCCCACATGGGTGCAGAGGCCCAACGACTTAGGCCATCTTCTACTGCTTTCCCAGGCCATAGCAGAGAGCTGGAACAGAAGTGGAGCAGCTGGGACTCGAACTGGCACCCATATGGGGAGCCAGCACTGCAGGCTGAGGCTTTAACCTGCTGCACCACAGCACTGACCTTTGTAAAGTGTTTTTAAAACCAGTGTTTTCTTTGTGTTTAGGTAGTAATCATAACTTGGAAATGAGGTTCTCAGAAACAATATGTAGCCATAAATAACCACTGAAGACACATATCTGTGCCATCGACTCCCCATAATTGTGCTTCCTAGGCTTGGACTGTAGCTTGTCTTAATCAGATGTAACTTTTATATGTTTATGAGTTTCAAAGATTGCTTTAGTTCTGCCCTCCAGGGATTCCTTTTTCAAGTGCTCTGTTCCTGTGGTTATAGGATACCTATGTAATTTATACCTTAGCTGAGCTTTTCAGGGAATTTCTTTGTTTGAAAATGCATATTTAAAATGTACATTTAATAGTCCCAACAATCAGTCAGCAGATATTTATTGAACACTTGTTAATACCAATTACTGATAATACTAAGGAGATTTCAAGAATTAGACCATGGGCCATGGCGCCTGCTTTCCGCCACTGAGCAGTGTTCTCCTGGGATCCTGGCTGCTTTTGTCTGAATGAAGCAGATCTGGCATTGTCAGTCCAGTTTTTTGTTGGCTTTGATTTGCTACAATAGAAACGCCAGCATCTGGAATGTCAGAACAGAACTTCCCGAGGGAGAGCAGGGGATGGAGCCTAAAGCAGTCAGTTAGGCTGAACCGCTGCTGCCTCTTTGCCTAAGATTTTTGTAAAAATCAATTTTCTTGACTAAATGAGGTCAGTCTTGGTAAGCTTAAATAATCTTTCTTTGAAATATGCTTCTACTTTAAATACATTTCAATGGGTTAATTTTTATTTCTTGTTTTTCAAGAGGACAGAGGGATTCACTGACTCAAAATCTAAGACCACCTGCTTGTCTAGCTTTAATACCTTTTGAGAAATTCAGAGCTGCCTCTTCTTTATTTCAGTACATTTTCCAAGACACTCAGGAGGAAAGAAAGAGGAATTCCTAAAATGTCTGAAATAGAAAACAAAGCAGTTGGTTTGGGCATTTTTCTTTATGGTCAATGGGTAACTTGATCCTTAAGCTAAAAGTCCTGGCAGGCCTTGAAACTCTTGGCTCAGTATTCTCTTTCCAGAACCAGGGACTTCAGAAGACCTCCACAGTTACTCCAAGGAAGATTCTATTCCCAGTCATCCCTCTGTTGTCATTCAACTAAGAAATGCTAGAGTCAAGAAAAAGAATTTGCAAGAGAAGGAAAGTATTAATAAATCAAGCAGCTCTTTTTATGACCATCCAGGCCATATAATGGTTTTGTCATTTAGTACAAAACTTAAAAATGGCCCTGTGCTAATGCAGCACTAGGATATGAATGGATGTCTGTGGCATCCAGAGTCAAGTAGAGAGAGTACTGGTCCTAGAAACAGGTTTGACTGTTTGAATCCTGGCTTCTCATTACTAGCTGTAAAATTTGAACAAGTCACTTATTCTTTCTGAGTCTTCATTTTTCCATCTATAAAACATAAAACATATTTGTACTACCAAAGTGCTTTGAGCATTTCTGTATTACAAACATCTGTCACACTGTATAGTAATTCTGTGACCACTCCTCACTCCCCGCTAGACCGAAAGCATCAGAGTCTTTTTTATACACTGGTGCCAAAGGCAGTATGCCCAGGTCTGAGCGCACGTAGGGTCTCTATAACAAGCTGATGGATAATTACATAGAAGTTTCTTGCAAACTATAAAGATATTGTGTAAATACAAAATATTACCAATGGCACTGTATACATCCTGTTTGAAGGGCATATGCCGAAAATTCTATTTTATGATCTTAAAGATAGGAAATCAAAAGAACTAGGTAAATTCTTTTGAGTATTAACATGCTAATTTTTTTTTTTAAGATTTATTTATCTGAGAGGCAGAGGGAAAGTTCTTCCATCCTGGTTCACTCCTCAAATGGCCACAACAGCAGGAGCTGAGCCACTCCAAAGCCAGGAGCCAAGGGCTTCTTCCAGGAATCTCATGTAGGTGCCAGGACCCAAGCACTTGGGCCATCTTCTACTGCTTTCCCAGGCCATAGTAGAGAGCTGGATCAGAAGAGGAGCAGCTGACACTAGAACCGGCGCCTGTATGGGATCTGGTGCCATAGGCAGAGGATTAACCTAGTGTGCTGCAGTGTCGGCCCCTGCATGCTAAATTTTAAATGAGCCGCTTTCTTTGTTGGAAGAACATGAATTAGTAATCATACATTACTACACTTCCTCCCATTCATGTAATCAGAGTGCCTGCGTGGCTTGTCTCTTCTAAAAAGTCCCAAATCAGATCATGACTGTGATCCCCACTGGCTCATGCAGTCCTCAGGACCCGAAGTGTTTGCAGAACTTGTCAACTTTATATGTTAGTTGTAACACGTTATTTATGTGTTTGTCTTATTTCCTCCACCACTTTTGCCTCCTACTTAATGCATGTAGACAACAGAGAGAAAGAGACTGTTCCCCTGGTGGAATGTTTGACCACCTAAGTATGGCGGGCATTCATGGGATGGATTTTTCTTTACAACTTAGCTGAAAATGTTAAGAAATTCAGTGAAATACCAGAACCTCCATTAGTTTAGAGTATTAAAATGTTCTTACATGGTGAAATGGATATATTCCTGCAAACCGTATGTAAATCAAATGCTGCATTAAGAGTACTTTGGGAAAGTCTGTTGCTTAAAATGAAATCCTTTGGCATGCATGTTTGAAAAATGAATACAAATATCTAACTTCTTTGAATTATTCTGAATTTCCATATAATGGGCCTGCTTGAATTAAGGTTACCACTACCATCCCTAATTCTGTGAGGGACCTGTTGTTGTTCAGTGTATTTGTTTTGGATTTTTTATTTTTTGAATTTTCTTTGTTAGATTAAAGAGATAAATAAGGTAATGAGAAATATGGTTGGGAGGTAAACAAAGACCAAATTTATTCCAATAATAAATATTTATTGAATGCCTAAAATGTACCAGGTATTCTAAGTGCTGACCATACAGAAATAAGTAAAACAAGGTCTTGGAGCTTACATTTTAATTAATTGTTTTATATCATTACTGTTGCCAGTATTTGCTTTTAAAGAAAGCATAACAGATAATCAGTCTATAGCTTTTAAAAAAAGAAGAAAAATTTTTATTCTGGAGAACCAGACCTTATCAATACTATATTTCTGTCTTAAGAGAAAGCATTCTTTTAGACCTCTTTCTTCAGGCTGACAAATCTCTAAGATACTGTTTCCTAAAGAAAAGCCAGATACCATGCTGTACTTCCCCCGGCATACTCCCTTATGTTCTGTTTCATCTTGACCTTTTGGGTGATTTAAGATTTTTTTTTTAAGATTTATTTATTTGAAAGGGAGAGGGAGCAATCTTCCATCCACTGGTTCACTCCCCAAATAACTGCAGTAACCAGGGCTGGGCCAAGCCAAAGCTAGGAGCTGGAACTTCAGTTCAGGTATCCCATGTGGGTATTAGGGACTCAACTGCTGGAGTCACGCTCAGGCACTGTGATATGGGATGCAGGCATGCCAAGCAGGGTCTTAACTGCTTCGCCCAGTGCTTGCCCCTCACCTCACCTTTAAAAGTTGCCTTGCCTTGCCAGGGATAAACTAGCTCCCAGTTAGAATGGAGCTTTAGGGTTAAAAAGTACACATTCACATAATAAAAGGACAGTGTAGTTGGTAGATGTGAATTCAATCATTATCTTCCCAGAATTAACTATTATTAAGCCATCTTCTTTCCTACATTTGATCAGCTTTTCATCTTGAGGCCAGGAGGAAACTTTGTGACTATTTGTAATTGTTCTTGTTTTTACCTTTAGTGGAATCTAATCAGAAAAGTTCATTTCAAGAAATCCCCAAACTTAACGAAGACCTACTCAGCAAGCAAAAACAACTTGAAAAGATTGAATCTGGAGAGCTGGGCTTAAACAAAGTCTGGATGAACATCACAGAAATGAATAAGCAGGTAGCAAAAGTGTGACTTTATTTCTGTATAAGCTTTCAATATTTATGTTGGTTATTTGTTTTGCATACATTTCTAAATACAGGGAATTTACTTCAGGTTTTGCTTTTTAAGCTGGAATTTTTCATATTGTGATCTCAACATGTTAAAATAGGTAATGGTTGTGCATTTACCAAATACTTAAAATGTTAACGTTTTCTTCAAAGGAACAGAGTTCCACCAAGTAGACTAGTTTAGAGGAAGTTGGAAATTCTTGAGATAGCTTTTTCTGTGGAGCAGAAAGGAGTGTTACATAACCCCCAAGAAACATGGACAGCCTCTTTTTTGTTAGATAATGAGAGCTTACTTTGTTTAATAGAGTTTACAAATTTACAGATGCAGCGGGCCAGTGCCGTGGCTCATAGGCTAATCTTCCACCTGTAGCGCCGGCACCCCGGGTTCTAGTCCTGTTCGGGGCGCTGAATTCTGTCCTGGTTGCTCCTCTTCCAGTCCAGCTCTCTGCTGTGGCCCAGGAAGGCAGTGGAGGATGGCCCAAATCCTTGGGCCCTGCACCTGCATGGGAGACCAGGAGAAGCACTTGGCTCCTGGCTTTGGATCAGCACAGCGCGCCGGCTGCAAAGCACCAGCCGTAGCGGCCACTTGGGGGGTGAACCAATGGCAAAAGGAAGACCTTTCTCTCTCTTTCCCTCTCTCTCTCTCTCACTGTCCACTCTGCCTGTCAAAAAAAAAAAAAAAATTTTTAGCGATGCAGCTTGAATTGTAGTACCGTGCACTTAAAACAGATCTGAACCGTTAACAGCTAATGATAATTGTTCTAGCTTAAGAGTGGGTGATGGAGTTGGTTAAATATGCTACCAGGCAAGCAAGCCTAGAGGATAAACATTTCCAGTCCCTACACTACCCAGAACTTAGTAGGCATTGATAAAACAGGGACTCTGCCAGAGCGAAAGGGCTTATTCTAAGGATGTTTTCTAAGCATCTTATACATATAATGGTGCTATAGTTATCACTGGGCAACTGTAGCCCTTGTCTTCAGTTTTTCCACTTAGGTTAGGAAAGAATGTGCATTGAAAAGGAAACTTAATTGCCAAATGAGTAGTGCACATGTGAAGTGCTTCAAAACAGATATGTCCTCTTTGTTGGAAGTAAGAGGCTATTCTCTTTTTCAGAGTGGATCCACGGAGTTCAGGAGGAGCGATGGCAGGGAGCACTGTGCTAGGAGAAAGTACTGGAGAGCATTTCTGAAGCTGTGCCTTTTAGCAGGGGTCTGGGAGTGGAGCAGGTTAGCCTCTAACACCAAAGATCAGTGACATGGGCAGTGAATACTGTTACTCAGCAAACACATACATACCTGTATGCTGTGATTTCAGTGTGTCCCCAAAATGGCATGTGTTGGAATTTTTTTTTTTTTTTTTTTTTTTTTTTTTTTTTGACAGGCAGAGTGGACAGTGAGAGAGAGAGACAGAGAGAAAGGTCTTCCTTTAGCCGTTGGTTCACCCTCCAATGGCCGCCGCGGCCGGCGCGCTGCGGCTGGCGCACCGCGCTGATCCGATGGCAGGAGCCAGGAGCCAGGTGCTTTTCCTGGTCTCCCATGGGGTGCAGGGCCCAAGCACCTGGGCCATCCTCCACTGCACTCCCTGGCCACAGCAGAGAGCTGGCCTGGAAGAGGGGCAACCAGGACAGAATCCGGTGCCCCGACCAGGACTAGAACCCGGTGTGCCGGCGCTGCTAGGCGGAGAATTAGCCTAGTGAGCCGCGGCGCTGGCCCGGAATTTTTTTTTTAAGATTTATTTTATTTATTTGAAAGGCAGAGTTACAGAGAGAGAGAGAGAGATCCGTCTTCATCTGCTGATTCATTCCTCAACTGACTGCAATAGCCAAGGCTGGGCCAGATCGAAGGCAGGAATCTAGAACTCCATCTGGGTTTCCCTCAGGCATGACAGGGGCCCAAGCACTTGGCCGTCTTCTGCTGCTTTCCCAAGCACTTTAGCCGGGAGCTGGATTGGAAGCAGAGCAGCTGGGACTGAAACTGATGCTTATAAGGGAAGCTGGCATCATAGGTGGCAGCTTAACCTTCTGTGCCACAGTGCCAGCCACCATGTGTTAGAAATTTAATCCCAAAATTCATGTGTTAGTGGTATTTGGAGTTGGGGGTCTTTGGGGGGTAATTAGGATAAGATGTGAAGTCATGAGAGCAGGGCCCCATGATGCCACTGGCTTCTTGATAAGAAGGGGCTGAGAGACCTGAGCTGGCACGTAACTCGTCACATGATGCCTTCTGCCGTGGTGGTATGCAGCAAGGAGGCCCTCGCCAGGTGCTGGCGCCATGCTCTTGGACTTCCCAGCCTCCAAAACTATGAGCTAAATAAGTTTCTATTTTTTATTCAGTCCGTGGTGTTCAATTAAACAGCACTAAGAAAACAAACTAAGGCACTGTATGTAACTGAAATAAAAGTTTCTGTAAACAGTAGCTCACCCTTAATATATATGATGCCTCATTATATTTTTTCTACTCAGTTGTATCTCATTTTTCTTAATTAGTCCTGAAATAGGGTACAGTGTTATGGCACAGTAGGTTAAGCTGCTGCTTGTGAAGCCAGCATCCCATATCTGAGTGCCAGTTGAGTCCCAGCTGCTCCACTTCTGATCCAGATCCCTGCTAATGTGCTTGGGAAGGCAGCAGAGGATGGCCAAAGTGCTCAGGTCCCGGCCACCCATGGGAGAGACCAGGATGGAGTTCCTGGCTTCCGGCTTAGGTCTTACCCTGCCTTGGCTGGTTTCCCCCTACCTCTCACTCTCTCTGATACTCTATCTTTCAAATAAAATAAATGAACAAATCTTTTAAAAATTTTTCATGAAATAATTGATAGTATTTATTAGTTATCATTTATCCTTGGACCCTCAGTAATGAGGGAAAAACAGACAGTCACTCCATTTTTGCTGAAAGAAATAGGATAAGCTGGCCTTGGTTACATTCACACAGCAAATGAGCAGTTTGGCCAGAGATTATATCAGTTGAAAGTGGACCACATCAAAGCACTAAGGGATAATTAACATCTTTCTAGGGCTGTGTGTAGATAGCCAGTCATGGAGTTACCGTCCTGAGATAAGGATGAGATGATTAGCATGAAGAGGCAATGTCAGCTATTCATTTCCCATCTCCATCTTAGAAACTGAAGTTATGGAAAGAGTCAAAATGGAAATTGGTACTTGGTCCAGAAGACACAGATTTTCAAATCTTTGGCACATATGATGATCTCTGAATTCTCATTAATCAGGGGTCTACACATCAAAGAATCATTTTATTTTGGTCTGACCATTATTTAAAAAAAAAAAAAAAAAAAAAAGAGGTACCTAGGAAGGCGGCAGGTCTATAGAGAGTTTACTCCAGTCCTGGAGCTTTCTATATGAAACCGGGAAGACTGAAACTTCCCACATTAGCTTCAGTTATATCTTCAGGGGCCCTGGGGCTCACTGGCAAAGCCAACCTGGCACAGAGGAATTCTCTGCAGCGTAAGCCCTGGAAGGCAGCTGGTAGTGAAGCGGAGCCTTAGGTTGTTTCCAGAGGAGACAGAGCGCTTTCTGTCTTCTTTCCCAAACTGTTCGACATCTCTGATGCTCTGTTCATAGAAGAGGCATTGGTCCTAAAGCAAAATAGATATGATAATAAGATTAATATGTAATCATGTTTCTGTATCTAAATGGAACTGTCAATTAAGGTGCTTTTAGTGGCAGTTTTTAAAGCAATTCAAAGCTTTAAGCTAAACAGTAAGAAAATGTGTTATATCTTGTAATAGTAACTATGCTTATTATAATGTGAATAAAAGTTAATGCAGATTGAAAAATAAAAATCTATCAGTTTGAAAAAGTTAAAGTCAAATTTTGCCTTCAAAAATCTTTAGTAGTTTAGGGGCTAGCATTGTGGCGCAGTGGGCTAAGCTGCCACCTACAACGCCAGCAATCCCATATGGGAGTGCTAGTCTCTGCTGCTTTGCTTCTGATCCAGCTTCCTGCTAGTGTATCTGGGAAAGCAGCAGAGGATGACTCAAGTTCTTGGATCCCTACCACCACATGGGAGTCCTGGATGGTGTTCTGGGCTCCTTGCTTTGTCCTAAACCAGCCCTAGCCATTGTGACCATTTGGGGAGAGAACCAGCAAATGGAAGATCAATCGATCAGTCTCTCCCTCTGTTTCTCCCTCCTCTTTTCCTCCCCTTCTCCCATACTGTCTTTGTTTCTCCCATCTTTCTTTCTTTCTCCCATCTCCCTTTCAAATAAATATTTTTAAAATCTACATATAAATAAAAAAATCTTTAGTAGTTTAAATCTCATTTTTTTTGCTTTATTGATGAAAATTTGATTTTGTACTCACTCCCTCCTGACCCTTATAGGAAGTCTCCTCCCTGTTTGAAGACCTTTCGTTCAACTGTTTATTAAGCTGTTTTTGTGGAGCTAGGTGTTAGATTCTGTCTTACTGTACTCAGAGTGCTAAAACAAAACGCCTTAGATTGGATAACTTAGAAACAGCAGAAATTGCTCATAGTTCTGGTGTTGAGAAGTCCAGGATCAGAGTGCCAGCCTGGTCCTCTGTTTCATACGTGGTGACTTCTTGCTGCATCCTCACATGGCAAAAACAACAAGCTCCCTTGGACCTCTTTTATTCGGCCACTCCCATCCACGATGGTGGAGCTCTCCTAAGTCACCTTCCACAGGCTGCACCTCTTAATACCACCACTTTGGGGATTAGGTTTCAACATAGGAATTCAGCAGGGAACAGGCGTGTGTCCTAATAGTTAAGAACCCATGTCCCATAGCAGCGTACTTCAGTTCGCTTCCCAGCTCTGGCTTCTGAATCCAGCTTCCACTAATGCAAACCCTGGGAGACAGCAGTGATGGCTCAGGTGACTGAGTTCCTACCGTCTGCTTGGGAGCCCAGCCCTGCCCCGGCTGCTGTGGGCATTTGGGAAGTGAGTCAGCAGCTGGGAGTGTTGTGTGTGTGTCTGT